TAACTCAACCCCCCCCAATTAACCCTAATTAACTCAAACCCCCCAATTAACCCCCAACCCCCCAAACCCCCCAATTAACCCCAAACCTCCCAAATTTACCCCAGATCCCAAATCAACCCAAATCCCCCAATTAACGCCAATTAACCCCAATCCCCCAATTAACCCCAATTAACCCCGACCCCTCAATTAACCTCAATTAACCCCGACCCCTCATCACCCCCCGCTCCCAATTTTCCCAAATTTTCCCCCAAATTTCCCCAAAATTCCCCAAATTTCCCCCAAACTCACCCCGCTCACGCCGCGGCCGAGGCCACGCCCCCTTCCCGCCCCAGGCCCCGCCCACAAAGCGCAGATCCCGCCTCCTTTTCCCGGTCACGTGATGGTCTCCACGCCCTCTTTCCGGTCACGTGATGCATCCACAACACCATTCCTCCATCACGTGATGCTCCTCCCGCCCTTTCCTCCATCACGTGATGTCGCGGCGGCCATTTTTCCTCCATCACGTGACGCCGTTCCCGCCCTTTTCCCGGTCACGTGGTGCCGCCGGCTCCCCCCCCAAGATGGCGGCGCCCTCCCTCAGGCGCGGTGTCCTCGGTGCCCCCGGGATTTTGGGGGGTCCCGTGGGAAAACGGGCTCGCGTTCGGGCCTGGAGCAGCGGGACCCCCCCGGAGGGGCCCCCCCAAAACCGGCAGAGCCCCGAGAGCCCCGAGAGCCCCTCATGGAACGGCCCCGAGCGCGCGCGGCTCCGCGGGCGGGAACAGCGAGAGAAGCGGCAGCGGCTGAGGAGGGAACGAACTGAGGGGGGGGCGGTACCGGGACAGGTGAGGGGGAACTGGGAGAGACTGGGAGACACTGGGGGGTACTGGGAGAGGGACTGGGAGAGAGACTGGGAGGGAATGGGGGGCACTGGGAGAGACTGGGAGACACTGGGAGGGACTGGGGGATACTGGGAGGGACTGGGGACAACTGGGAAAGGGACTGGGGGGTACTGGGAGGAGAACTGGGAGGGACTGGGGGCACTGGGAGAGGGACTGGGAAGGACTGGGGGGCACTGGGAGGGGACTGGGGACAACTGGGAGAGACTGGGGGACACTGGGAGTGGTTTTGATGTGGGGGGCATTGGTTTATACTGGTCCATACTGGTTTATACTGGTCCATACTGGTCCATACTGGTCCATACTGGTTTATACTGGTCCATACTGGTTTATACTGGTCCATACTGGTTTTGCAGGAGCCCAGACCCCTCCCCAAAGGTTGGAGCCCCAAAGAGGAGCTGGAATATCGGCACCCCCTGGGACCTGATGGCAAAAAGGGTACGGGGGGACCCCAAAAATGTCCCAAAATGTCCCAAAATGTCCCCAAAAAATGTCCCAAAATGTCCCAAAAATGTCCCAAAAGTGACCCCAAAAATGTCCCCAAATGTCCCCAAAGTGACCCCAAAAATGTCCCAAAAGTGACCCCAAAAATGTCCCCAAAGTGACCCCAAAAATGTCCCCAAATGTCCCAAAATGACCCAAAAATGTCCCCAAATGACCCCAAAAATGTTCCCAAAATGTCCCAAAATGACCCCAAAAATGACCCCGAAGTGACCCCAAAAGTGACCCCAAAAATGTCCCAAAATGACCCAAAAATGACCCCAAAAATGTCCCCAACAGGGATTTTGGGGTGAATTTTTTGGGATTTTTAAAATGGGATTTTAGGGGATTTTTGGGTGGATTTTGGGGTGAAATTTTTTGGAATTTTTGGGGATTTTTTGGGGGATTTTGGGGTGGATTTTTTGGGATTTTGGGTGGATTTTTTGGGGATTTTTTTAATGGGATTTTGGGGGATTTTTGGGCGGATTTGGGGTGAATTTTTTTTTTTTTAAATGGGATTTTTGGGTGGATTTTTTGGGATTTTAGGGTGAATTTTTTTTGGATTTTAATGGGATTTTGGAGGAATTTTGGGGTGAATTTTTTGGGATTTTTTTGGGATTTTTGGGTGGATTTTTTGGGATTTTTTAATGGGATTTTTGAGGTGGATTTTGGGGATTTTGGGGTGAATTTTTTGGGATTTTTTAGGGGATTTTGGAGTGAATTTTTGGGGGATTTTGGGGTGAATTTTTTGGGATTTTTTAATGGGATTTTAGGGCGAATTTTTGGGGGTTTTGGGGTGAATTTTTTGGGATTTTTTTGGGATTTCGGGGTGAATTTTTTGGGATATTTTAATGGGATTTTGGGGGATTTTTGGGTGGATTTTGGTTTGAATTTGGGGGATTTTTTAATGGGATTTTGGGGTGAATTTTTTGGGATTTGGGGTGGATTTTTTGGGATTTTTTAATGGGATTTTTGAGGTGGATTTTGGGGATTTTGGGGTGAATTTTTTGGGAATTTTTTTTGGATTTTGGGGTGGATTTTTTGGGGATTTTCGGGGATTTTTGGGTGAATTTTTTGGGATTTTGGGTGGATTTTTTGGGGATTTTTTAAATGGGATTTTTGGTGTGAATTCCTTCGGGTTTTTGTGTGGTTTTATGGAATTTTTTGGGGTTTTTTTGGGGGCTCAGGTGTGTCCCCAGGTGTGTCACCCCCCCCCTCTCAGGTGACGTTTTGGGGACGTTCCAGCCCCGTTTTGGGTGAATTTTTGGGGATTTTGTTGATTTTTTGGGGGGATTTTTTGGGGATTTTGGATTTTTGGGGGCTCAGGTGTGTCCCCAGGTGTGTCACCCCCCCCTCAGGTGACGTTTTGGGGACGTTTCAGCCACGCAGGTGCCGCTGCCCCCCAGGTACAGCCCCCGTTACGTCGAGGCCGCCTGGTACCAATGGTGGGAGAGGGGAGGGGTCTTCAGCCCCCCCGAACAGGTGAGGGGGAAACTCACCTGGGGGGGTTAAAAACACACCT